CAGGGGCGCGTGCCCTCGGCAGACAGACAGAGAGAGAGAGGAAGTGAGAAATCACCCCCGGGGGGGGGCACACCACAATCCCTTCTCTATTCTCCTCTCGGGATCTTGGGCACGCACGCACGCACATGCGTCTAGTGTGAGTTTAAGCCACTGGGTCCAGGACTTGAACCACAGTCTAAATAAAATAATTCTTTCAAAAAATAATAAATAAATGAAAAACTTTAAAAGTAAATAATAATAACAAAATTAAATAAATATTTTTTAAAAATTTAACGTACATATGTATTTTCTTTTAGAGATATTTTTGCTATAGGGCATGTGCATTTGCTAGAGAGACAGAGACAGAGAGACAAAGTGAGAAATCTCCCTCCAAAGGGGGATGGCCATGCCATAATCCCTTGTCCATTCTCCTCTCAGGATTTTTGGCACATGGTCACAAGTACCTGACAGGAAGTTTTTGTTTTTGTTTTTTTTTCAGAGAGATTTTTGTCATAGGGCACATGTGCTTACCAGAGAGACCCAGAGAGACAGAAAATAAGAAATCATTCCCTGGGGGGATGGCCACACTGCAATCCCTTCTCCTCCACTCTCTCAGGATTTTGGGCACTCACACACATGCACCCAGCGTGAGTTTTAAGCTGCCAGGGCCAGGACTTGAACCACGGTCGACTACGTGTAAGTCCAATGAAGTAACCATTATGCCATCTGATGGTCCCAAAAATTTAACATATATTTAATGCAAAAATAATAAAATGGGCTGGCAGTGGTGTGGTGGTTAAGGCACTGGACTCCCACATGGCCGACTGTGGTTTGAGTCTTGGACCGGGCAGCCTGCTTTCTCACTCTCCTTCTCACTCTCTTTCTAGCTCTGATCAAATTGAAGAAGAGTAATGATAAATAAAATTAGGTAAAAGGTTCTAAAAATTAAAAAAAAAAAAAGAATAAAACAATCATAGAGGGGGGGACCAGCAGATGGCGTAATGGGTATATGGCTGGACTCCCACATAGTCGAGTGCAGTTCGAGTCCAGGACCTGGTGGCTTAAACTCCAGCCAGGCGCGTGTGCATGCGTGCCCAAGATCCTGAGAGGAGAAGGGAGGAGAAGGGATTGTGGTGTGGTCATCCCCCCTGGGGGGTGATTTTTCGCTTTCTGTCTCTCTATCTCTCTTTCTTTCTGGGGAGTGCACACGCCCTATAGCAAAAACCTCTCATAAATAAATAAACAAAGAAGCACTCAGGCCGGCTGTGGCCTGGTGATAAGGGAGTGCAGTCCCGCATGGTGACAGCCAGGGGGCAGCTCTCTGCCTTCTCCGTGCTTCACTTTCCTTGTCTGGCAATGACCCCAGTGCAGAGCTGGGGCTGGAGTTTGTTAGCCCTGGTCACGTGGAGGGCCCCGTCCGCCCAGACTTGCACACGGCGGATATTTTCCGGCAGATGATAGGACCTGGGGCTCCTTTCCGAAGTCTCTCAGTGGGGCTAGTGGTGGCCTTGGGTCTAAGGCCCTAATTTTATGCCAAGGGCTGAGGCTTCATGCTGGAAGGGCCTGGGTGGGAGCACAGGCCACCTGCTGACCCTCCTCCCCACCTCCCTGCAGTTCTGGGAGGTCATCAGTGATGAGCATGGCATCGACCCCAGTGGCAACTACGTGGGAGACTCGGACCTGCAGCTCGAGCGAGTCAGCGTCTACTACAACGAAGCCTCCTGTGAGCACCCGTACACAGCCTACCCACCCTGCCCCGAGGGAGAAGGGCGAGGACACTACAGCTCTGGGTCCTGCAGTCTCTGCCTTCCGACCGATTGGCCGAGAGACTAGAGGTGTCACCAGAGGTCCACCGTGCAGAGTCACAGGAGTCACCGTAAAGCCAGAGTCAAACGTACAGAGTGACCCTGAGGGCTTCTGCACAGCCCAGGGAGCAGGCGGGGCTGGGGCAGGCAGGGGCGGCTCCACTGCTGCAGGGGAGAGGGCTGAGGCTGGGCGTCCAGGGCAGGGACTACCTGAGAGCACGTGTCGGAGTCATTTAGCGGCTTCTGTGAAATTACGCCCATAACAAACTAGTGAGATGCCACCCTGCCACGTGGGTGTGGATTTGAACCCACCATCCTAGGGCGTCAGCTGTGCCCAGCTAGCACGGGGTAAGGTTTAGGGTGAGTAAACTGCTCAGGCCATTGCTGACTGCTGGCTTCTCAGGGTGAGTGGATGAGAAGGGAGGAGGAAGAGGCCCCTGGCCCTCTAACCTGTGGCACTGAACCCTTCTTCCCCAGCTCACAAGTATGTGCCTCGGGCCATCCTGGTCGATTTGGAGCCTGGAACCATGGACAGTGTCCGCTCTGGGGCCTTTGGGCACCTTTTCAGGCCTGACAACTTCATCTTTGGTAAGTTTCCCCAACTCCAAGGTCAGAATACAGGACCCATCATGGACACACCCAGGTCATCAGTGGGGCAAAGTGTCCACACTGAAGGACCGCCAATAGCTCCAGTTTACACCCGGGCACTGGGAACCCGGACAGAGAACTCTGTTCAGGAGACAGAAGCTGCACGTGCATTTCAAGAACAGCAAGTTGAAAACAAGCAAGCTCGCAGTTGTCAGAGAGCAGGTGGGGCAGTGGGGCTTCTGCAGGCCTTGTGCTTACCAACACGAGCCTTGGTTTGGTCAGACGGCAGCCTCCTGCACCTGTGGCCAAGTGACAGGACCCTGTGTGCTCACACAGAGACAGGAAGAAGGCCACACCATTCCTGGCTTCCAGACCCCAGCACATTGAACTGGTGGCCGCCGGGGAGCCGGGGGTTGCAGCTTAAACTTCCAGCACAGTCAGCCAAAGGGAAGGCAGCCTGGGAGGGAGGGTGGTGATCGGCACATCCAGGACCCCTCGTGAGGCAGAGCAAGGCTCTAGTCTGACTCCAGGTCCTCAGTTTCTGTCCAGGGCTTTGCACCAGACACTGCAGCTGGGGTCCCCACCCTCAGCGGCCCTGGCTGAGGGGGAGCACGTGGGGTGAGGAGGTGTGCTTCATGGGCACCCACTCCGGAGCAGAAAGCAGAGGCTCAGGGCACCCACAGTTGTCCGGGACATCAGGCAGCTGCTGGAAGTCCACACAACAGAGCCCCACCAGTGTCTGTCTGCTCCTCTCCCCGCGCAGGTCAGAGTGGAGCTGGCAACAACTGGGCCAAGGGGCACTACACGGAGGGCGCCGAGCTGGTGGACTCGGTCCTGGACGTCGTGCGGAAGGAGTGTGAGAACTGCGACTGCCTGCAGGGCTTCCAGCTGACCCACTCGCTGGGCGGGGGCACGGGCTCGGGCATGGGCACTCTGCTCATCAGCAAGGTGCGCGAGGAGTACCCCGACCGCATCATGAACACCTTCAGCGTGGTGCCCTCGCCCAAGGTGTCGGACACGGTGGTGGAGCCCTACAACGCCACGCTGTCCATCCACCAGCTGGTGGAGAACACCTGCAGGGCTTCCAGCTGACCCACTCGCTGGGCGGGGGCACGGGCTCGGGCATGGGCACTCTGCTCATCAGCAAGGTGCGCGAGGAGTACCCCGACCGCATCATGAACACCTTCAGCGTGGTGCCCTCGCCCAAGGTGTCGGACACGGTGGTGGAGCCCTACAACGCCACGCTGTCCATCCACCAGCTGGTGGAGAACACCGACGAGACCTACTGCATCGACAACGAGGCCCTGTACGACATCTGCTTCCGCACCCTGAAGCTGGCCACGCCCACCTACGGGGACCTCAACCACCTGGTGTCGGCCACCATGAGCGGCGTCACCACCTCACGGTGCCCGAGCTCACCCAGCAGATGTTCGATGCCAAGAACATGATGGCCGCCTGCGATCCCCGCCACGGCCGCTACCTGACAGTGGCCACTGTCTTCCGCGGGCGCATGTCCATGAAGGAGGTGGACGAGCAGATGCTGGCCATTCAGAGCAAGAACAGCAGCTACTTCGGGGAACAACGTCAAGACGGCCGTGTGCGACATCCCACCTCGGGGCCTCAAGATGTCGGCCACCTTCATCGGCAACAGCACGGCCATCCAGGAGCTGTTCAAGCGCATCTCGGAGCAGTTCACGGCCATGTTCCGGCGCAAGGCCTTCCTGCACTGGTACACGGGCGAGGGCATGGACGAGATGGAGTTCACCGAGGCCGAGAGCAACATGAACGACCTGGTGTCCGAGTACCAGCAATACCAGGACGCCACGGCCGAGGAGGAGGGCGAGATGTACGAAGATGACGAGGAGGAGTCCGAGGCCCAGGGCCCCAAGTGAAGCCGCTGGCAGCTGGAGTGTGGGGCCAGGTGGCAGCCAGAGCCATCAAGTGGCCAGCACTGCCCCGCTCTGCTCCCACCAGGGTCACGGCGCCCTAGGGCCCCAGCATTTATGGCCATCCCCACCCTATGAGCCCACGTGGCTCTGCCCTCCCACTGTAGGCCACCTGTTTCTGTGTTGCTTTTTGTCTCTTTGTTTGATGGTGGCTCCAAGCCTCATGTTTTATGGCTTGTTTTTTACTTGTCCGTGTTCTGTTTTGGGGTATACTTAATAAATCTGTTGCTGTCAGACCCTCCTGCCTGGTGCTGTGTACCTCTTTTTCTCCTAGGTCAAGGGCGAGTAGGAGCAGATTCAGGTCAGTCCTATTCCCTGCACGTCAAAGTCATCTAGAATCTCCAGCATCTTCCCACCCTCTGGAAGCCATTTCTTCCTTTCTTTCTTCTTTCTTTCTTCCTTCCTTTCTTTCTTTCTTTCTTTCTTTCTTTCTTTTTTAAGAGGTTTTTGCTATAGGGTGCGTGCGCTCGCAAAAAAAAAAAAGAGAGAGAGAGAGAGACAGAAGCAAGAAATCACCCTTCAGGGGGATGGCCACATTACAATCCCTTCTCCATTGTCCTCTTGGGATCTTGGGCATACAGTTTAAGGCGCCCAGTCCGGGACTTGAACCACAGTTGACTACATGGGAGTTCACCCACATAACTATTAAGCCATCTGCTGGTCCCTTTTTCTTCTTTATGATTTCCTTTTCTGGTCTCTTTTTTTTTTTTTGATTTCGCTATAGGGCGCGTGCGCTCGCCAGACAGACAGAGACATAGAGACAGAAAGCGAGAAATCACCCCCCAGGGGGGATGGTCAAGCCGCAATCCCTTCTCCTCCATTCTCCTCTCGGGATCTTGGGCACATATTCATACGCAACTGGCATGAGTTTTAAGCCACCGGGTCCGGGACTTGAACCGCGGTTGACTACGTGGGAGTCCAGCGACATAGCCATTACGCTAACTGCTGGTTCCCTCTGGTCTTTTTTATTAAAAAAATTTTTTTTGCTATGGGGCTCAGTCACTTGCCAGAGAGAGGGAAAGTGAGAAATCACCCTCCCCCCGCAGGGAGATGGCCACGCCACCATCCCTTCTCCACCCTCTCGTGCACACACGCTCAGCTGATTGTGGACATGAAATGTTGAGTCCAGGCAACCACCAGCTCTGGGATTTGAACCACGCAGTCGGCCACATGGGGTCCACCTTAACCTCCACGCCACCGGCTGGCCTCTGGAGCGATCCCAGGGCAGGTGGCACTTCTTGCCCCGCCTTCCCACGTGGCTGTGTGCAGAAGGTCTGGGGGACTGCCTGCCTGGAAGGCACAGGCCTCACGTCCTGCCCGGCAGCCCCAGCGTGGGCAGGCACGGAAGCCCGGATCAGCGACGGGACAGCGCGGGCCATCGCAGAGCCGTTCCCTGAGCACCACTCGGCTTCCCAGGGCTAGCGGGTAGCTGTGGGCCTGGCGCCTCACCCTCGGAGCCAGCATGGGCAGGTCACTGGCTGGGGGCCCCCTCCCGGTGGCAGCCAGTCCTACCCGCAGTGCGGACCGACTTCTTCCGCAGCGGCTGGCTTCGAGGCATGCCAGACCAACCGAAGGCCCAAGTGAGAGGTGGGAGGGACAGCACTGCCCGCGGTGGGGCAGGGGACGGTGGCAAGCCGGGCACAGAGCAGCACATGTCATCCTGCCGTGCCGTCCCCAGTTGGTGACACCAACTGTGTCCCCAGGTGCTTGGCAGACGCCTCGGCGTCACCATCAACAGAGTCCTTCCCACCCTGTCCCTGCTGCAGCCTGCAGTCCAGAGCCCTCCTTGCTGTGCTTGCTTCTACCCTCTGACCCGTGGCCATCTGCCTGGGCTCCCTGCTCCTGCCTGGCCCCTCAGGGCCCTCCCTCCGACCCCAATGGCACTTGGTGCTCACCTGCTGGGCCCCCCCGGCAGTGGTCACTGTGGCCGCAGGACACAGGACTCTTGCTTCACTTGCCCCCACCTTCCCTCTTCCCTCCTGTGTCTCATGAACTCCATTGTCCTGGGGGTCCTCTGGGTCTTTGCACAGGCTCTCCCCTCCACCCCACACAGCTCTTGGCTCCTTCACTCAGATCTCTGCTTGAGCACCACCTCATAAATCAGACCTCTCCAGGACCAGCAGGTGGCGCAATGGTTATGTGGCTGGACTCCCACATAGTTGACCATGGTTCGAGTCCTGGACTTGGTATCTTAATCCACACTGGGATGTGTACGTGCACGCCCCAAATCCCGAGGGGATCGTGGCCACCCCCGGAGGGGGGATTTCTTGTTTTCTGTCTCTGTCTCTCTCTGTCTCTCTGGCAAGTGCACACACCGTATGGGAAAAATCTCTCTAAATAACAAACAAATTAATTAGTCGATTAAATCAGACCTCTCCTGGCCAACCCTTTAAATCCCCCGCTCCCTCTGCACATGGAACTTCTCCTCCTGCGTCTTCCACACAGCAGTCACACCTACATTAGGGCCCTGGCAGGCCAGAGGCTGCACCGCTGGGGTGAGGAGAGGGTCAGAGAGGGTGAAATGGGAGCATGGCAGGGTGATGGGTCAGGGAGCAGAACTGCCAGGCCCTGGTGGGAGCAGGACCCAGGAGGGAGGCAGCCCAGGAGGAGCTGTGGCTTCAGGCAGCTGCGACCGGGCCCTGCTTTCCAGGTGAGAGGAACCACGGCCAAGCCCCCCAGTGCAGTGCTGATGGGACAGACGCCCCGGCCTTTCTCTTGCACCTTTGGCCTCCTGCTGAGGCCCCCACTAGCTGAACCCAGGGACATATGGGACAGGGGGCCAGTGAGGCCTTCCACGTGGTTCCGTCCCGAGGCAGAGAGGGGGACAGGCAGAGTGAAGAACGAGTTTGGGTGTGCTGGAGGCACCGTCCCTGTGTTGGATACTGGGTCATGCAGCAACCACCTCCTCCACTGGGTTGTGTCACTTCCTGTCACGCTCCTGAGCCACCTGCCTGCTTCAGATCACAGGGTTACTGTGACAGCCAACACCAGAGAAAACCTGGGTGTCCAACGGGAGAACAGACCCTCAGCCGTGGCCGACCACGCCATTGCACCCACTGAGCAACGAGAAGAACCAGCTCCAGCCAGCCCCAGGGCCAGTGGTTAAGGGAGCTGGGTCCCAAATGCAAATCACATGGTTCAAGTCCCAGCCCTGGCACCTCAAAAACACAGTGGTAGGGACCGCAGATGGCATAACGATTACATCATTGGGGTCCCACGTAGTTCGAGTCCCAGACCTGGTGACTTAAAAAAAAACTACGCTGGACATGTGTGTATGTGTGCCCAAGATCCCGAGAGAAGAATGGAGAAGAAGTTGCAGCGTGGCCACTCCCGGGCTGTGATTTCTCACTGTCTATCTCTGTCTCTCTGTCTTTCTGGAAAGTGCACATGTCCAACAGCAGAAATCTCTCAAAAGAAAAAAAAAGGAGGGAGGAAACACTGGCTTGTGCATGGTCCCCCGATTCATCGTGATGGAGACAAGGAGAGAGGGCTCTGCCGCGACCTCTCCCCGGGGGCTGTTCTCCCTCCAGCCTTTCCCTGCTGAGTGCCTGTGTCCTTTGGCAAGAAACAAGAAGGTAAATTCCATGTCCTGCAGCAGTGTAAGAAGCCTGACAAGCAGAGTCACACCCTGGTGCGTCTAGAATTCTAGAAGGGGCAGCATAGCGTCAGGAAGTGCCTCCATGGCATCTGGGGACAGAGGCAAGTTGTGGGGGGGATTGCACAGGAAGCACACCAGGACGAAGCTGACTGTCTTAGCAGGCGTCCTTTCTCAAGAGAGCACAGTGCCAGGGCTTGTCACACGGCATGTTTAAACCCGTGCAGTTCGTTGGCGGGGGCGATGGCTCCGCCGCTCTGAATCGAGGCCAAGGCGCGTGCAGCTGGCCCACTGCCCCACCCTGCTGTTCTCTCCTCTTCCTTGACCTTGCACCAGGCTTGGGCCCACAGACCTGCTCTCGGACCTACAGGCTCAGCAGGCTCTTCAGCCCCTTCCCTCGAGGCGTCTTCCCACCCACCCACTGCCAGCTCACAGACTCAGGGCTCCCCGCTAGGTCACCACCTTCCTCCCTGTTCTTCTTTAAAAAAACTGTTTTACTTAATTTTATCTGTCCATTTATTTATTTATTTAAATTTTGACCAGAGAGAGAGGAGAGAGAAAGTAAGAAAGCAAGCTGCCAGGTCCGGGACTTGAACCACGGTCAGCCATGTGGGAGTCCAGTGCCCTCAATCACCATGCTACCTGCTGGCCCCACTTCTTTTTCTTTACTCTTCTCTTTTCTTTCTTTCTCTCTCTCTCTCTTTTTTTTTTTAAGTTTCTTACAGGGCATGCGCAGCTGAAGGGAGAGAGAGAGCTGAAGTGAGAAAGCACCCCAAAGCGGATGGCCACACACGACCCTTTCTCCATTCTTCTGGGATCTGGGGCATCATGCACACACATCCGGCAGGTTTTTCAAGCTGCCAGGTATGGAACTTGAACCACGCAGTGGCCCATGGGAAATCCAGCTGCCCTGACCCCCACACGGCTGCCAGCCCTGTTTACTTCCTGTCCCTGACACACCTCGGCCTCACGGGAGTCTCTGGATGGCCCGCTGGAGTCGTGTCTCTCCCCTCGCCAGCCATCACGGTGCCAGCCAGAGCACGCGTGGACCTGGTGCTCAGGAATGAATGGTCGGTAGAGAGGTGGGAAGATAGACACGCCACGTTCTTCTCCTTCTTCTTTTTTGTTAATTTTATAATTATTTTATTTAACTTTATTTATTTACTTATTTTTGAATTTGACCAGAGAGGGACTGAGTAAGAGAGAGAGAGGGAGGAGAGAGAGAGAAGGAGAGGGAGGAGAAAGAGAGGGAGGAGGGAGAGAAAGTGATAAGTCATGTCTCCAGGTCTGGGACTCGATCCATGGTTGGCCATGTGGGAGTCTAATGCCCTTAACCACCACGACACTTGCCAGCCCCTCTTTTTTTTTTTTTAATGACAGGTACTTATATTTTATTTTATTTATTTTAATTGGTCAGAAGGCATGTACATTTGCCAGAGAGAGAGAAAAAGGAAGAGGAAGAGAGCATGGCTCCATGGGGATGGCCACGCCACAGTCTCTGTCTCTTCCATTACTCCCTCCTTTTGGGATTTTGGGCATGCGCACACACACCCCCTGTGTGTTCCTGAGGCCTCCATGTCCAGGCATGTGGGACACAGCTCCTTTGAGCAGGGGCTACGAGCTGGCCCAGCACACTCTACGAGGAA